GCGACCCCCCCGTTGCGGCCCTCCGTCACGGCCTCCCGTCGCGGCCCCTCGTCGCGGCCTCCCGTTGCGGCCCCGTCGCCGTCTCGTCACGGCCCCGTCGCCTCCTGTCGCGGCCCCGTCGCCGTCTCCCGCGGCCCCGTCGCCGCCCGCAGCAGCCCCAGGCGCCGCCTGCAGCGCCCCCGTCGCAGCCAGCAGCGGCCCGGTCGCCGCCCTGCCGCGGCCCCGTCGCCACCGCAGCGGCCCCGTCGCCGCCCGCATCCCCCCCCCCTGTCGCGGCCATGTCGCGACCCTGTCGCGGCACCTAGGGCACGCACCCCTCCCCCCCCGCCCCTCTTTTCCCGTCGCCTGTCGCGGCGCCCTGGGGGGCCGCGCGCGGCCCCCCTCCGGACGCCTCGCCAGGCGACGGGAGGGGCGATCTGTTGGGGGGAGGGGGCGCAAGTCGCCCCCATTGCCGCCGGCTCTGGCGCCCCCAGCAGCAGCCCCTGGAGCAGCCGCCCCAGCAGCAGCAGCCCCTGGAGCAGCCGCCCCAGCAGCAGCCGCCCCTAGCCCCTGCAGCAGCCGCTCCTGGACCCGGTGCAGCCGTGGGCGGTTGGGTGTGGGGGTGATGGTGTATGGGGTGGAGTTTGTGGGGGTGGTGCGTAGGGGGTGGCGGGTGTGTGTCTACCCCTTCTCCTCCTCCTCCTTTGTCTCCCACTGCTGCAGCTCTCGCTGAGGGGGGTGGATGTGTGGGAGTCTAGGGTTTAGGGTTTAAGGGGGTGCTGTGGGTGTAGGGCTAGGGTTTGAGCAAGGGGTGTGTGAGAAGGGCGTTGGGCAGCTGGGGAAGGTTGTGTGTCGGTAACTGTCTTGTCGTCTGCAGCGCCTGTAGTCCGTCGCCCTTGCTTCGGTAGCCCAGTAGTATTCGCTGCGCCAGTCGCCTGTGGGTCCGTTGCTCGTCTGCCGCTACTTTTGCCGCGGAGCCAGTTACCCCTGTAGTCCGGGCCTTTGCTCCGGTAGCCACTCTGCGCGCCTACTCCTGTTGCTCGTGCCTCTGCAGCTTCAGTTGTTGCCTCCCATCTTCTCTCCCCCACAGTCTCTCATCCTCCTCACTTGCCCTCTGTGATTAGCTCTAGCTTTGCTTCCACTTGTGCACTTTAAACTCTTGCTCTTTAAACTTGTGCTCAAAATGTGTGGTGACATTGTGATCCACCCTGAGCTTGTTTTTTTTGCTTTTGCTGATTACACCCCACTTTGGCTATGGGGGTGTGTCAGAATGTTATTGTCTAGCCTGTAGTGGGGTGCTCTATAGTGAGTACAACCCAATTAGGGTTTGCTATATGTATCCCAACTGCTGCTAGTCAAACCCCTTCTCTTCTCTTCTCCTCTCTTCTTCATTCCTGTTTCTTCACAGTAACGTGCAGACAAAAAGGCCCAGTGGCCCACAGTTTCACTAATCGCATTGGTCCACTGGTGCAACATAAAAAATTCTGGTCGGCGGGTCGCCAATGCATACGGAATTGCTGTCTAATCATACCAGTCCCACTGCCATATCTGTCAAGTAGCGCGCCACCACAGCTTCGGGCTGTCCTGCCGCTCATGCCTAGCCAAGGCCTGCTACCGCAAGAAAAAATGCATATAAATCAGTGTATCATGAAAGTTACACTAACTGAATCAGTGTACCGTCATACCCCGGATATACCCCCATGGGGGGCAATAATAAAACAGGTTTTTTTCAGGGGGGTGGGCTTACAATCAAGTAAATTTATAAGCGCCGGCGTTGTCAGAATGTTATGTTATGCTCTAGCCTGTAGTGGGGTGCTCTATAGCAAGTACAACCCTTCTAGGGTTTGCTATTTGTATCCCCATTCTTGCTAGTGCAACCCTCTTCTTTCTTCTAACTTTCACACGGTATCAGAGCAGGTCGATCCCCTTGGATCGATCCTGTGGGTGGGCTTACTACCTCCTAGCTTCCGCTGCAACTCCTACAACTACACTCTGAGCCGCACGCCCCGTGGCGTGCGGCACTTTTTATTCCCGCCGTGCGCCTCGAGGCGCGCGGCGGTTTTCGGCCCGCCGTGCGCCCCGAGGCGCGCGGCGGTTCTCTGCCCGCTGTGCGCCCCGAGGCGCGCGGCGGGGTTCTGCCCCGTCGTTCGCCGCGTCGCCCTTTGGAGGCGCCGCGACGGGCGACGGGGACCCGTCTCGGCGCACCGAGGGCACGTGCACCGGCCCCGTCGCCCGTCCCCGTCGACCTGCGTGCGCCTCCCCGTCGCCCTTCGGGGCGGCCCCGTCGTCCCGCGCGCGGCTTCCTGTCGCCCTTCGCGGCGGCCCCGTCGACCCGCGCGCGGCTCCCCGTCACCCTTCGCGGCGGCCCCGTCGACCCGCGCGCGGCTCCTCGTCGCCCTTCGCGGCGGCCCTGTCGACCCGCGCGCCGCCCCTGGGGACCCGTGCACCCGTCCCCGTCGACCCGCGCGTCGCCCTGCGGCCCCCCTCCCCGCACACCTGAGTTCGATTACCGCACATCCGAGTTCGCTTCCCGCACGCTTGTGCACGCTTAACGCACACCTGAGCTCGCTTACCGCACACTCAGGGTATAGGGGTGACGGGTATGGGGGTGATGGTTGTGGGGGTGTCGGTTGTGCGTGCCGTCCCCTTCTCGTCCTCCTCCTTCGTCTCCCACTGCTGCAGCTGTCGCTGAGGGGGGTGGATGTGTGGGAGTCTGGGGTTTAGGGTTTAAGGGGGGTGCGTGTGAGTGGAGCTAGCGGTGTAGCAGCGGGTGCGTGCCAGGGGGAGTGGGATAGTGTGGGGAAGCTGTATGGAGGTTGCCGTCGTGTCGCCAGCAGCACCTGTATTCCGGGGAGTTGCTCCGGTAGCCCAGTCGTAGCCAGCTGTGCCAGCCGCCCGTGGGTCCGTTGCTCGTCTGCCGCTACTTTAGCCGCGGGGCCAGTTACTCCAGTATTCCGGGGCGTTGTTCCGGTAGCCGCTGTGCCAGTGTGCCTCCTGTTGCCGGTGTGTCTGCAGCTTCAGCCGTCGCCTCCTATCTCCTCTCCCCTCACTCTCTCTCCTCCTCCTCACTTGCCCGTTATGACTACCACTAGCTTTTCTCATAATTGTGAACCTTAAACTATTGCTTCTTGAACTTGTGCTCAGAATGTGTGGTGACATTGTGATCCACCCTGAGCTTGTACTGCTTTGCTTGCTCTTCTGATTACACCCCACTTTGGCTATGGGGGTGTGTCAGAATGTTATGTTATGCTGTAGCCTGTAGTGGGGTGCTCTATAGCAAGTACAACCCTTCTAGGGTTTGCTATTTGTATCCCCATTCTTGCTAGTGCAACCCTCTTCTTTCTTCTAACTTTCACAGGCGTTTATAAAACGACATATATATTTTTTCTATTTTTTAACACCAAACTGTAGATCTCGTGCTTGCCTTTCCAATCGAGTCGAAGTTATATGGGGTCGTCTGTGAAATTCTCGCGCGCGCTGGGAGATACACCCAATCAGACTCACATCCACCTCCTGACAGCTCCTGACAGCTCCTAGTGACTGGACCCGCATCCAGTGCAGGGTCAGAATGTGAAGGGAACCGAATCTGCAACACGTCCGCCTGCTAAAGTAAAAATCGTTACAGCATTTTGAACACGTTTCAAATTTTGAGTTTACGTGCGCTTATAATAAAACATGTTTTTTCAGGGGGTGCGCTTATAATCGAGCAGCGGATATAAGCGCCATGCGCCAATTAAAAGCGCAAGGCACTTATCCGAGGGTGGCGCTTATATCCGGTGTATGACGGTACTGTAATTTTTAGGCTGTTGCCAGCGGTATATAAAAAATTTTACCTTAAGGGTCAGGGTACATTAGGCCAGATACCCTGATACGACAGGGTGACCCAAAACCAATTTTGGGCCCTGGACCTTAGGCTAGGCTAGGTTATGAGCGTACCTATTCATGATACCATCTCAGAAGTACGGTAGAAGCAACGGAATGTTTTCATTAGGGTTGAGAAGCAATACAAGTAGCAACCCTAAATAAGTTGTATTCTCTAAGGAGTACCTCATTGCAGCCTATAACAATTATATGCATTTGACACTGACTACCATGCTATTTCTGGGCAGGTGAGGAATTCCAATCAGGTGTTCGCATCTCAGTCATACAGAATTGTTTGCGCTAACTGATATCTCAGACGAAGTATAGCACAGTGTCTGAAAATTCAGATGAGATAAACCATGATGTCTTAAAAAATCAGACCAATATATTTTGCTCCTCATGACAATGAAAAAAAAAAAAAAAAAAAAATCAGGCCTGAAATTCAGTCCATCAGACAAATTTCGTATGATAACGAAGACCATGTCCTGCTACCTACTACCGAGACAAATCTATACATAGATTAGAAATGATTAATGTAGTAGTTTCCAACTCACACGCTATGTGGGAACCGATTATTTATACCTTAATGAATCACACATATTACTGCAAGCATTCAAATATTCCGCTTTGTGTAGTATTTGCACATTTTGTTAAACCTTTTTTGTAGCAATCTGAATGGCATGTTTTGGGGCCAGCGTGACGATGGCCTGTACCCATGTTCTCTCACATGTCAAATGTCAACGCTACCCAGCCAGGCGGAGGCTGTGCTAACTACCTGGCTGGGCAACGAACATCGCTTGCCGGGGATTGACGTGATTCCCCCGCATGCCGGGCAATGCGATGGCCCCTCGCCCGGCCCGGCGCGCGCCGAGCACGAACGAGAACCGAACATCCATGTTGTGTGAACAAACAACAGCGGGTTACCGTAGGCGGACAGGCGAGGGCTGACAGAGCCACGGGACGCGCTCCAAGGACAAAACGAGAGGCGGTGGCAGTGTCAGCGCGGGGCCAGCAGCTTTTGAAAATGCAGTGTCGATCGCAACTTGAGATCTAACAGTTGTACTTTCTCACAATTTTATTTAGGAGCAGCTCCTGTTAGAGGCTCTAGAGGCAGCGCAATAGTATTACTAGTACTACTCGTGCCACATCACTCCTGCGCTATGGCGCGGCTTCGTGCTCTCAGCTTGGCAGCTTCTGTGATTCTCGTTCTCCTCTGCAAGAGTGGCAAGTCCACCTTTTCCCACCATCATACTCCCTCGATCTCCCTCATCCTCCCTTCGCCCTGCTTGCTCCCGCATTCCTTCCGCCTCGCTAAAGCATTCTCATGCATCGTGCCGCAGCAACTGCACTTCATGTATGCACCTCAGTACTCTCCATACTTTCGATCTCTCGGAGATATCATGACTCATGTCTGACGGGCCGTCATTATTGGTGTGTGTGCAGGTTCAGAAGCGGTGCGCCTGACGCCCACCACTCGCACCACCGCCACTCCCGGCAACGCCACCGCTAGTGGCGGCAACGCCGCTACCAACAAGACTGCTAGCACTAGCACTCCCAAGGTGAGCTTGCCTGCATGCTCAACGCGCGTGCGCATGCCCTGTGATCCCAAGGCGCGTGCGCATGCCCTGTGATCCCGCTGAAGCGCTCTCATTGTAGGAAGGGGGGACGTGACGCATGGCACCACCCCCGGGCTCCTTCTCAAGGAGAATCACTCCTGGACTCGAAGCTTGTCGAATGGCTTCAAGCATGTCTCTCTGCACTCATCCACTCATCCGCTCATCCGCTCATCCGCTCATGGGCTCACCGGCTCATGGGCTCACCGGCTCATGGGGCTCACCGGCTCAACTGTGTGTAGCCTAGCCCATCATGTGGAGCTCTGTGCTCAGCATCACCTGTTGTTTGTGCTGACTGGCCTGGTTGTTTGTGCTGACCAGCCTGATTGATTGTGCTGACTGGCCTGGTTGTTTGTGCTGACCGGCCTGGATGTTTGTGCTGACCGGCTTGGTTGTTTGTGCTGACCGGCCTGGTTGTTTGTGCTGACCGGCCTGGTTGTTTGTGCTGACCGGCTTGGTTGTTTGTGCTGACCAGCTTGGTTGTTTGTGCTGACCGGCCTGGATGTTTGTGCTTTTCAAGTGGCACCTACATCACAACACCCTTGCTGCTGCCTTTTGCTACTACAGGCGGGCAAGACGTTTTATTACACATTATGGCTGCTCGATGCTGGTTGGGGCAACAGGGACACGCCGAGTGGGGGGGACACCATTGGTACGTCTCTTTCTCTCCCCCTCGCACTCCCTCGCTCTCTTATCTCTCTCCCTTGCACTCCCTCACTCCCTTATCTCTCCCCCTCCTCTCGTCGTGTCTTGTTTCTTTGTGTAGTCCAACACTCGCAGTGTTGGGCAGCCAGGGATTTGTTCCTTTCCTGGCAAGAAGGCTCCCGCTCCCTCCACCCCCCTCTCCTCTCTTCCTTTCATCTCTCTTCCTCACTTCTCATCCCTTTCCTCACTCCACTCTTTCTCTTATTGTGTCCGCTTCGCTTTGTGTACTCTTATCCCCAACCACAGTGTTTCAAAATTTCGGTCTCGTTCCCGCTAAGTATTTCGTACAGTTTGATGACCAAAGAACCTTTTCCAAATGCAACTACAGGGCGGTACAATATCTGAAAGCATTTGATTGGTTTGGCGAGGAATACAAGTGCGTACTTTGTCTACCTCTTTTTTTTTTTTTTTTTTTTTTTTTTTTTTTTTTTTTTTTTTTTTTTTTTTGGTTTTTTGCCTATTTCACAGCTGTCTTTGCCTATTCCTTTACCCCATCTTCGGGGAAAATGTATTTGCTGATGCGTGTAGAACTAATCATATTGTCTTGCAGGTACACCGTGCCATACTATACTAAAGGCGATCACCTGTACTTCGGCTCGAGCGCTTGGCTGTGCAAGAATTTGGGTATTAAGGTTAAGATTCCCGTGAAATCTTACACACCATGACACAAGTCAAGTCATGGTACGGTATTACCTTGGTGCAAAAATGCCTTCTCTTCTCTGGTACAAGACTCCTGTTGGGCCATACTCATTTGGTGGCGGCTAGGTTGAGGTGCCCATGCCACAAAGCAAGCACTGGTTGATCGGTACTGAAATGTTTTCTCTCTCTTGTCTGTGGATATGAGTAATAATAAGGTGCTGTTATATTAGAATTTGTCCCACTGTATTCCTAGTGTGTCTTTCTCTTGTGAATACTGGATATCTGAAGCCAGTCAAATGATGTACGGTACACTGTGGTTATCTAAAGACGATTATCATTGAGATTACATAGACGCTAGGGGGTCATATCAGACTAGGGTTGGTGATCTATCTTCAGTTTGCCTTGTGTGCCCTGGCTGGGGGTAACCTATATTACACGCCCTATGAGGAAAGATGCATTTGGCCTATATTTAGGAATGCTTATGGTACCTCTGATTTCAGTGTTGTCATGGCCAATAGTTCTCATTGGCATTGCAACCAATTCAGCTAGTCAGACCAGACCTTTACAACAATATTGACTGACTGATACGAAGAGTCCCAGCCCAATTTCCCTCAATGTTGAATCCCCCACCACTGTCTCCCTCCCAGCATCCTGATTCCTCTAGCACTTGAACGACTGCAAGTCCAGGCACAACGCTGCTACTTTAAGGCCCCACAAACCCCCTCTCGATCCTCTCCTCTCCTCACCCTCCCGCGTAGCTGCGAGCGTCTGCATTAGAGCGCCCCTGCCACTGCCTCATACACAGCTGCTGCCACTGTTGCCACTGCACCTCCACCTCAAACTCCGAACTCACCCTTGCAACTCCATGGAACCAACAGCATCACCTGGGATGATGCCTTCATCACGAAGTTTCAGCGCGCCTACAAACGTGGCTTGTTTTTTGTGAAGCAAGCACCCGAGGACCCGACCTACTCGTTTGAAGACCCATTTTGGTACAACAGCGTTACCGTCATCGCCCGGATATAAGACAGTGTTGACTAGTAGACAGGGGTTGTCTACTATTCGGGTGTCTCTTATAAACAGGCTAGCCTTTTTATACGACACCTATTTGTGTGTACGAGTTAAGACATATATGTCTTACAATCAGAACAGGGGTTTAGGGGTTTTCTTATAAACAGGGGGTGTCTTCTAAACAGGCCTTCTTTACTTTAGGGGGGTACATGTGTCAAATGTTGTAGCCTGTAGTGAGGTTTGTCTTAGGGGGTACAGAAGTTAGGGTTTGTCATATGTACCCCAACCAACATCAATGGAAACACCATTCCTCATTCTGACATGGTATCAGCTAGGTTAGGATCCTGTGGGATCCCGTTCCTCCGTTCTCCGTTCGTACCTCCCGAGCCTGATCCTACCTCTCGTTCGTACCAGTTCCGTTGTTACCGAGCCTAGCGCCCTTTCCCCCGTCGCTTAGCGCCCTTTCTCCCCGTCGCCTAGCGCCCCCCCCCCCCCCCCCCCGTCGCGTCGCGCCCTTTCCCCCCCCCCCCGTCACGCCCTTTCCCCCCGTCGCGTCGCGCCCGTTCCCCCCGTCGCGTCGTGCCCGCCTGTTCCCCCCCCGTCCCGTCGCCCTGTCCCGTCGCGTCGCCCTACCCCGTCCCGTCGCCCTGTCCCGTCCCGTCGCCCTGTCCCGTCGCGTCGCCCTACCCCGTCGCGTCGCCCTGCCCCGTCCCGTCGCCCTGCCCCGTCGCGTCGCCCTGTCCCGTCGCGTCGCCCTGCCCCGTCGCGTCGCTCCCGCCCTTTCCCCCGTCGCGTCGCCCTGCCCTACGCCCTGGCCCGTCGCCCTGCCCTAAGCCCTGGCCCGTCGCCCTACCCTAGGCCCTGGCCCGTCGCCCTCCCTAAGTCCTGGCCCGTCGCCCTACCCTAGGCCCTGGCCCGTCGCCCTACCCTAGGCCCTGGCCCGTCGCCCTACCCTAGGCCCTGGCCCGTCGCCCTACCCTAGGCCCTGGCCCGTCGCCCTCCCTAAGCCCTGGCCCGTCGCCCTACCCTAGGCTCTGGCCTGTTGCCCTCCCTAAGCCCTGGCCCGTCGCCCTACCCTAGGCCCTGGCCCGTTGCCCTACCCTACGTCCTGGCCCGTCGCCCTAGCCCGCTCTTCCGCTGCGACTGAGTCCTCTTCCCCCCCGGTTGTTACTCGCCTGTTCGTTCGCTTTAGTCCTCACTATGGCGACTCCGCGAGTTCTTCGTTTCGACGCTGACGGTAGACCCCTTGACTTTTCCGTCTGGCTTCTTCGCGCTCGCCGTCTGTTAGAGAGTCAGGTCCAGGGGGGCGAGACCCTCTGGTCACACGCTACTGGTGACCTCCCTGAGCCCCCCGAGCCTACAGCTTTAGGCCCTGCTCCTGACGACGCTGCTACGGCTCGCTTTGCCCGTCAGCGCGCTGACCGGACGGCTTGGACGTCACGTGACGCTGCGGCCTGCATCGCACTCAGCAGCCTCCTCCCTGAGTCCGAGGAGGTCCACTTTACTCAGGTTCGCACCGCTGCTGCGTACCTCACTGCGATTAAGGCCCGCTACTCTACTCCCGCTACTGTCTCTCTTGGCCGTCTTTTCCTCCCGTTCCTGTTTCCTGATCTTGCCTCGTTTGAGCACTCTGCTGACTTGATCGCTCACCTCCGCTCGCTCGACGCTAGTTACCGCGCTGCTTGCACTGAGGCACAGCTTACACTGCTTCCTCCCCCCATGGTGATCACTGTCTATTTCATCGCCACTAGCCTCCCTGACTGCCTTGCCTCCGTTCGTGACGCGCTTCTGCTGAAGCACCCTAGTGAGCTGACTATCGAGGTCCTTGAGTCTGCACTCAAGGACGTCGAGAGCAACCTTCGTTCGGTAGCTGCCGCCTCTGGTACTGTGTCCTCCCCACTCTTCCACGGGTGCACAGTCCCGCAGTTACCCACCTTCACTGCCTCTCTTGCCACTGCCGCTACTGACGCGACTGCGGCTGCTGTTACGACTGCGTCGCGGTCCCGCGGCAGGGGGGGCAAGAAAGGTGGTTCTGGTGGAGGTGGAGGCGGAGGTAGCGGAGGTAGTGGGGGTGCTGTTGCGACTGGGGGTGGTGGGAGTGCAGCGTCTGGAGAGACCCCTCGTGCAGCGGCTGGTGACTCCACTGCACCTGCTGGTGGCGGCGACCCCCGAGCTCGTCAGTCGCCTCCTGTACTGCCGACCCCGCTAGGTGGAGCAGCGGCGTGGTACCAGGCTCAGCGTCAGCAACACCTTCATCAGCAGCAGCAGCCCCTTTCCTCCCAGCAGCCTCAGCAGCAGCAGCGTCAGCAGCTGGCTCCGGGGTCGGGGCTGCGTCAGCCCCAGCGCGGTGCGGCTTACCCTCCCTGCCCCTACCAGGTTCAGACAGGTCCTCGTCGGGGCCACCCTTGTGGCCGCTTTCACCCCCCCTGGTCAGTGCTTTGCTCAGCTCACTGACACGGTCCGGTTGACCTACGGGGTTGGCGGTCCTGCTCCTGACTGGCTTCCTCTGGTTCAGCGCTACGGCTCCGCTCTGTGGGGAATGTCTGCTGAGCAGTTAGTTGATCTGATTAGTGCTCCTCATGCTATGTATGCTGTTGTTGACTCTAGTGTTTCTGACTCTGTTTACTCTGGTGTTGTTAGCTTAGGTGCTAGTCTTGCTCAGTTGCCTGTTGCTAGTGTAGGTACTTGTGTAGACTCTAGACCAGCGACTACCTCAGGGGACGCTTCGCTGTCGTTCACACTGGACTCTGGAGCCTCCCACTGCTTCTTCCGGGACAGCACGACACTTACACCACTGCCTGCGCCTGTTTCTGTAGCGTTGGCTGATCCCACTACGGGACCAGTCACTGCACGTCACACTACCACTTTACCGTGTCCTGCTGCTCCCTCCGGGTCTCTCACTGGGTTTCACGTCCCCTCGTTCTCCCGGAACTTGGTGGGCGTGCGACCCCTCGTGAGTCAGCACGTGGGTGTGTGGTTTGAGCCTTCTGGAGAGACTGCGGTGTGTGTTGACGGAGACTCTTACCAGCCTCTTGCTACCTTTACTGCTGAGCCGGGCTCGGGTCTCTACACTCTTCACACTGGCCCGCGTGCGCCGCAGCAGCAACCGCAACAGCAGCAGCAGCCGCAGCCGCAGCAGCAGCAGTAGCAGCAGCACCAGCGGCCGCACCAGCAGCCCCCCCTACTGCCACTGCCCCCGGTTCCCACCCCCGTTCGGGTCCCCGTGTCTCACCAGGTTGCTTCGTCCCCCCAGGTGTCTGTGTCGTGTTAGGTTCCTACGTCTGTTCCAGTCGCTGCGTCGTGCTCCTGCCGGTCGCTTGCCCACCCCACCGTTCTGTGGCACCACCGGATGGGGCACCCGTCCCTTCCTCGTCTGCGCGCTATGTCTAGTCAGCGTCTTGTCCTAGGCCTCCCACGTGTCTTGCCGTCGCTGCCGCCTTCGCTTGCGCCGCCGTGTCGTCCCTGCGTCGAGGGTAGGCTGCGCGCCACCCCTCACTCCTCCTCCCTTCGTCCGGCCACCGAGCCTTTTGAGACGCTTCACTTGGACGTCTGGGGCCCTGCCCCTCGTCTAGGCCCTGAGCGTGAGCGTTACTTTCTGGTGGTCGTTGACGACTTCTCCCGCTACACCACAGTGTTCCCACTGGCGAAGAATTCTGAGGTGACTTCTACGCTGATCAGGTGGTTGCTCACCACCGAGGACACTCGTGGTCGTCGTGTCAGCTGTCTCCACTCCGACCGTGGGGGTGAGTTTCGCTCCGGCATTCTCACTGGATTCTGTCGCGAGCAGGGCATTCGTCAGTCCTGGACGCTTCCAGAGTCCCCACAGCAGAATGGGGTTGCTGAGCGCCGCATAGGCCTGGTCATGGAGATCGCCCGCACCTCCCTGACTCACGCCTGTGCCCCCCATTTTCTGTGGCCCTACGCGGTCAGGTACGCCGCGCACCAGCTGAACCTCTGGCCACGTGTCTCTCGACCAGAGGTTTCACCGACCAGTCTTTGGACAGGGTCCCCTGGT